TTTGGGGCGGGTCCCGCCCGTTCCCCGGGTTCCCGGGCCCGGACCGGACGTCGGGTTCGGGGGACGGACGGCGACAGGCGGTTGCGCGCTGGTCGGGCGTCCCGCTGGGCAGTGGGGCCGGAGGGTGACGTTCAGCAGTGAGGGATGTAGAGGAGGAGGCCCGGCGGTTACCAGGGCTCTTCCTGCTGGCTGCGGCCGTCACCCCTGCCCCGCGAGCCTGGCCCGCGGCCATCCAGCTGGATGGTGTTCACCTGTGGAAATCAGCCCTGATGCTTCCTTTCTGAGCGCTCAAAGGAGAGCTCTGAGTCCCGAGGATGACATGGGATGCGACCCTAGACTTCAGTCACTATTTATACCCAAGGCAAGGCAGCGTGGAAGGAGCATGGGGCCAAGAAGGAGGGCCTGCAGCTTACTGACGGGACCTGCGGCAAGCCCCGGCCTTGCCGAAGCCGCGTGGCCTCATCTGCACGGCTGGCAGGACAGCGCTGTTTCCCCTCTGGGCAGAGGAGCGCGTGAGATGCTGCGCGCAATGACAGTCGGCGTCATAGAGCTGTCACCGCTGCCCCTCTGTTTACTGCTTGTGGCTAACATTTCCACGTTTCTAGTGACTTCTGTGTGCTTTCTGTGACAACACTGCTGTTGAAACTGGGGCCAGAGAGCTCAGTGTTTTGCCCAGGGTCTTGCAGGGATTTTGTGGTAGGATCATAGACTCTTACTTGACTGAAGAACTAATAGGAAGGCAGGGAGGCTTTTCCTAAAATGCAGATCTTTTCAGTAATGATTCATCTCCACAGAAAGTCCATTGTTTCCCTTTTCAAAAGGCCTACTGTAACAACTTCTCTTGTTTGTTTGTTTGGGGGTTTTTTGGCGGGGGCGGGAGGTCGGAGGTAAAGTTGTCATCTTAAAATGTACCTGGTGTTCATGTTGCTCGGCATTCATATTTTAAAAAACAGATACGCCGGGCTTGGGCACACTAGTTCTAAATTTGGAGCCTTAAAATAGCTAAACAGCTGACCTCCTGACCTCCGCACCCAGGCACAACCCCTCAGGACTTCATTTTGGGACATTAAAAGCAGATGACCCTGGAAGGCTTCATTCTGCATGCGCCTGCACCAGGATTTAAGAAATCAAACACAGTCAACAGCACGATTATATTTTTGGACAACAAATGTAAAAATCTGTCACCTTCATAATGCAATGCATGGAGTTTCCCACAGTCACAAATCACAAACATGAACCATTTATGCGAAGCCAGCTTGGTGAAGGGCCAACAGTTGTCATATAGTTTCTTCATTCTTCAGACTAAATAACACTAAAACCTCCAGTTGTTTTGTGGGAAGCCATCCAGCGATATTTGCATCTCCCAGTGCAGCTGAGAATACACTGGGCCTGCTCTCATATCTCCCAGAGTATTTGTGGTTCTCTGAAAACCACCCAACTCTCGTGTTTTCCGGGGTGAGCAGCTGTGAGCTGTGTGATTTGGGGCCACAGCACAGCTGTGTGGGCCGGGCTGCTGCCGGCCCTCCGAGTGACCCCGACTGCTTTGCTCTGCCTCTGCAGTGTGTGCTCCCCGATGAAGCCTGCACCTCGCTGGACGCCTCGATGATCTGGGCCATGATGCAGAATAAGAAGACGTTCACCAAGCCCCTGGCTGTGATCCACCACGAAGTACAATTTAAAGGTGCGTTTGGGGGAGGCTTGGCCAGAGAAGACGGGTGTGAGGGCTGCTCGTGAAGAAGCTCTGATTCTGTAAATCAAAGTCTGGTTTTATTCAAAAGATACATTAATGGACAGTTAGTCACTTTAGAAAAGGATTCTTTGCCCAAAGAATCTTTTATGTAGTTGGTTCTCCCGGTGCCCTGCGGTCAATGACACATTTGCGAATGATTCCCTCTTCAAATGTTAGATCAGAGTCTAAGGTGTCCCTGTCACAGTGTTGCTCTCCCTTGCATGCAGACCTGCTTCCTCCAGCAGGTAAGAGAGGGTTAGCGTTCCTCCCAGCCTCTGGGGTCGCACACAGTCCACAGCCCATCTTTCCGTGATCTGCCGCTAACAGTTGTGCGGGCTGCAGGCTGTCACAATACCTTGTCAAGATCGCAGATGCCTTTGGGGAGGGTGTTGGCACGTGAATGTCATCTGTCTTAGGTGTCACAGCAGAGAGAAAGTGAGAACCACTGTCCATAATTCAGCGCTCAGGGTTCTGCACACGGCCCTGAGCTTCCCAGGCTGGCCGCTGTGGGACTCTGGGCTCTCCCCCCACGACCTTGGGTTTCATTCCTTTACCTGGAAAAGAAGGCTTGGACCAGATGACTCCCAGAGGCCCTCTCAGCTGTAACACTCAGTGACACTGTGAAGCAAAACAATTTTTCATTCATTTCCCAGCCACCCTGAAGTAGGTGTGAAGTGTACGTAGCAGACGTTTATTGGTTCCTCAGCAAAGTTGTTGTTGTTGTTGTTTGTTTTACTTTATTAGTTGGTTTCAACCACTTGAAACGGTTACAACAGTCGCAGTCTTTCTGGAAGTGCATTGCCCGAATAGTTTCTTGTTTATTGGGTCCAGGAGAAATAAATAAGAATAAATGAATTATGTTGCAAAGTGTATCACAACTGGGCAACAGCTGGCCTGCTCTGTGCTGTGAAAGCGGCACAGGAGTGGCGGCAGCCACCCCGGGCTCCCTCTACCCCTCTCGCCTGCTCTGAGAGGAGTCCTTCTGCGGGCCGTCGGAGGCAGCGGCTTGCTTCTCCCTACGCCAGACGATGAGTAGGCACTAACACTGCGGCAGTGTGACTTCCAGTAATTCATTCGTTCTTCTTTTAAGTCTGGTGGTATTTTTCTAAGTAATTCCTCTTGTAAATTAGGTAATTACTTTTATTTAAACTTAGTGTGTAATTAAGCTGAAAGTTCAATGTTTTCTTTACATAAAAGTGCAAGAGGAAAGTTTTACCAAATATCAAAGTAGTTCCTGGATTTGCTAATTGAGACTAGATTTGAGGGGAGAAGCACGTGGTGAGGAAAGTTTATTGCTCAGGGTTGGTGAACACGTTGAGACGGTTAGGCTGTGGGCCGGCTTCCCCGGGGCCGTACGCGGATGTGCTTCCTAACTTCGGGCTGAATGGGCCGGGCTTCCCGGCAGGTTTTGGCTTCCTGAGCGCCTCCTCTCGCCTCTGATGCTTGTTTTCCTCTGACTCTTAAGAGCTTTCTCCTCAGCGCCGGCCCCTGGAGTCCGCCTTTCCCTCTGCCTCGCAGTGAACTGAAATAATCACATATAAAGGGAATGTGGCTGTTTGATAGCATTGGCTTATTTGGCAAACAATGGGGCCGTGAATGTTCCTCCTGCCGACAGCCCTGCGTGTCACTGCGGCAAGACGCAGACACCGTCCTGTCTCTGGCAGAGGGCAGATGGGTCTCTCCCTGGGAGTAACTTCTGGGGTAGAAATCTCCCGGCCAGTGGGATGGTTGACGGCGCTCTTACCACGCCGGAGCCCAGGGAGACCCCGCCGCGGTTCGGCTCTTGCAGCCCATTTGCTCCACCTTACTTCCCAGCACTTGGGTTTTCTGGGGCAGCAGGTAGAGCTCTGGCTTCAGCTTCACACCAGCCCAAGCGCTGCTCTGCGGCTGCCACTGCCGAGAACACGGGGACATCGCAGGTGGGGTCTCTTCCCTCTGTGGACAGGGAGTCGGCCACCAAGAGCAGGTAAACAGCTCCGAGTCCCTCCTCTGCACCACTGTTCTTAACGGAGCTTTGATGAGCCGTGCAGCCCCCCTTTGCACCTATGGTCCCTCCGTCCCTGGGGACCGGCAGCATTAGGGTCGTTCTGCTGCTGAGACTTTCGATGAAAGGTAACAATGCTGATGGGTTGCTGGTCCAGTGTTCACTGAGTTACCCAGCTCCAGGCGCTGTGCTGAACGCTTTACGTGGACGACGGTTTGTAATCCACGGCGCCCCTTATGAGGCAGGTACAGTATGGAGCAATGGAGCAAGGGCAAGTAACCTGGCCAAGGTCACACCACGTGTGACTGCGTGATGGGTCTAGGGTTTAAATCCAGGCTCTGCGATCCAGACCCCGTGCCTTATCCTGGCAGAGGGTGCTTCTGGCTTACAATAAAACTGCAAGCAACGTGAGCATCTGCCTCTTCACACCCCGTTTCTGCCCCCGTCCACGCCCTGTCACATTAGTATGCACGGTAGCACCCAGGTAGGCTCTGATCATTATGAACTGAAAAGAAGATGAAGAATTTTAGGAGAAATGTCTGTTTCCCCAAAGGATTAAGGTGTTGGGAAGCATGTAAACTATTAAAAGAGCATTGAAGTATAGGAGAAGCTCTGAGACGCTGAATTGTAGCAAAAAAAGCCCAGGAAACAGGAATAGTTCGTACACATTACGGTTTATGGCAAAACAATTGAAATAGTTGAGGCGCTGCCATCCTGCCACGTTTCGTGAAACATTTTGAAGTGCAGGCGTGTCAGTGCTGTTTGCTTTGGATGCCATGGCCACTTTTATAGCATTTGAGAATACTTGGGCTTATGTAATAAAAATCGTTACACCACGTCAGCGATTATTTCTTTAATAGTGAAAGGGAAAAGTAATCGTTTCTCTGAAATCTAGGGCATATATTTAAAAAAATGGGCACAACAGAACATCTTCAAATTTGCCATGATTTATACACAATATGTAATTCTTAGCAAGTTACGTGTTTAAAATACCGAATTTTCTTCATATTTCCACCACATAACTTTTTTAAAAGTGTAAGTGCGCTCAGGACAGCACCTGGCATATCATGGGCACTCAGTGAATGTTAAGTTCCTTTCCTTCCTCTTAACGTCTCAGCCAAGCTGCGTTTTTTTGTGGGGATTAGAGGGGAGTGGAAGGAAAAGTTGTGAACGTCAGTTGGAAATTAATCCAAGATAGGCGTTACTTTTTGGAACACATTTGATTTTTCCAGAACAAAAATACTCTAAGGCACTGGCCAGGTTTTGTCCTCAGGATGAGGCAGAGATGAGGGGAAGCTGAGTAGAAAGATGGTGGAAATGCTTAATTAATAGACCAAGACATTAAGCCTGTACCCGGGGAGGGGGTGGTATCATAGGAAATTTTTTTATTCGATGTGCTTCATGTTTTGAAAAGTTTTTACTTCTGAAAATTTCAAATATAAACCCAGATGGAATACTTGAATCAACTCCCACAAGCCCTTCACCTGGTGGCCACAGTCGCCAGCCCACAGCCAGTCTTGTTTTATCGCTTCTTGCCCCTGGATTGTTTTGAAGGAAACCCAGACATTTCGTTTATCAACGGCTACTCCCGTATGCACCTCCAAGAATTGAGATCTGTCAAAAGATCTCACGTAGGGAGCCCCAAGCCAAGTCATTCAGGAAGACTGCTCTGCAAGCTGCTGGAGGCTGAGCTGTAGGTATGCATGCAGGCATAAGATACACATGATATTTGTGGTTATTTATTCCAAAAAAGTGTTCATTGAATGCCTACTGTGTGCTTGGCATACAGGAACCAAATCTTCCTGTCTCTGAGGCATTAACAATCTAACGCGGCTTCACAGCCTCGGCACCACGAGTGTCTTGGGCGGGTAGCTCTGCGGTGGAGGTCTGTCCCATGAATGGTAGGGTGTTGAGCAGCACCCCCTCCTCTACCCGCTAGACGCCTTAGCAGACCCTTCCACCACCAGCTGTCGCAGTCAAAAATGTCTCCAGACATTTCCAAACGTCCTCTGAGGGAGGAGGGTGGGCAAAAATCGCCCCCAGGCGAGAACCCCTGGTCTAGCAGAAGGATGTAGGTAAGTGAGCAGACAATTGCAATGAATGCCATCAAGACTGAAGGAACCCAGGGAAGAGATTCATGTTCAGTGCAGTAAAGTTATTGAAAACGGTACCTTAAATCCCCTGCCTGAGCTTCTTCATCTCCCCACCCTTCCCTCTTTGCCAGGTACCAAAAGGCGTGGGTGCCAGTTAGACCCCTCGTTTCCCTGTGGGCCTGCCCGGTCTTTGTTGTGTTCAGGAGAGCTGAACGGAAAGCCGGAGGCCAGAAGCTGCGGGCAGCCGCTCAGGCGCGACCCCGGAGGTGCCCCTCTCATGAAAGCCATGCCTAGCAGTCCCGAGGAGGGCAGCCCTGGCTCTCGCGGCAGGCCGAGGTCTGCTCGGAGTGCGGAAAATACCTGAAGCACAACGTTGGTTGTAGCTTGTTCTTTCTGTAAAGGGGTCTTTGTGGTCAAAATTCTCTTTGCAGCAGTAGCTGGGACCCCTCTCTTGCAAACTTACCCTTAAACCAAAAGTAAATACTGTGAGGTCCACCCTCGCGCTTCGCCATGCCAGCTCGGTGACGGGGCTCCAGCGTGCTCCGACCGTCTCAGCTACACACGGGCTGCTGGGGGCTCTGGAAGGAGCACGTTAGAGGAGAAAGTCCTGTACCTCGGTTCTGAGCCTCGGTTTGTCGTCGTCCATGCACAGAAGTCACGGAGCGGCCTCGCTCTGGGGACGTGAGCGGCGACTGTGTCTGCTCTGCTCTCTCTGTGAGGAGGCCCTGTGTGGGGCGGGGCAAGAGGATGAGGTCACGACATAAATCCAGTAAGGATTTTAAAACGATGCCGTCTGTCACACAGGCCTCCTGTGAAACCTGCATTCTCCCAGGCGAGGTCTCCTCGGGGGAGAGTCGTTATTTAAGGCCTCCTGGGGGTCCTGAGGGACAGAGTGTGACCATGGGTGGTTGACTGGATGCAACTCTTCCCAGGAGTGTGTGTGTTTCTCGCGCGACGGACGCTGCAGAGACCTTTACATGCCTTTGTGCTTAGCTCAGCGTATCAGACCATGACTTCTTGAAAACAGGAGAATTTGTGGTTAGATACCCCTGCTTGATAGGACTCCTGGGAGTTTAAAATGAGCAAATGTGCAAGTGAAAGCTGGTTGTCGATTGTAAAACACTACACAAATGTACAAATGTCAGGCATCGCTGTTGTTGCTGTATTGCTGCCAGGAAGGCTGATGGGCCAAACTCCCAGGCAGCGGCCTCTTACGTGTGTTGTGTAGCTGGTGTGTGTTCTGCGTACTGAAATAGGCTTTCTTAAAGACACGCAATTATTTTAATTTTCTTAGTGGTTTTATTTGCGTATGCCTTTCCATGTATCCTGCCCCCGGGGCCACGGTGTCGCACAACTCCAGGGGGCGCCATGCAGCTGCAGTGGCTCTGATTCCTCCAGTAGCATTCCTTCCCCTGGAGCTAGACCATGACGCCTCATGCTGCAGCCTGCTGAGATGGTCAGTCCTGAGAATTTACAGTCCTAGCTAGCATCTTTATTTTTATGAATGCTGCCTGTTTTGGTCAACTTTTCACAGGTTCTTTTGCTTCATCACGTGTTCCGGCACAAGGCGTGTGCTCCTTCTTTACTGAAGGAAGGGGAGCTGAAAGAGGCACTAAACACTTACACCGTTAAACTCTCAAGAGCAGGGCAGAGCCCACGCCAGGACTCAGCACACTTCTTCTCAAGGGCCAGGTGGTGGATGGTCTCAGTCTGCGGCTCGTGGAGCCCCTGCGTTGACTGCTTCGCCACTGTGGCCGCAGGGGAGCAGCTGTGGACAGTATGCGCCTGAGTGAGCCTGGTTATGTTCAAGTAAAACCTTATTTAGGGAATAGATTTGAATTTCATATAATTTTCACATCTCATAAAATATTATTTTGATTTTTGTAATGACTTAAAAATATAAAACGAATCCTTAGTTCACTTGTGTAAGATTAAGCGGGGGCCGTGACGCCCCCCCCTCGCTCTGTGACACGTCTGTCTGCGCGCAGGTGGCTTCCTGGTCGGGTCTTCCCCGGCCGAGGACACTCGCTAGCCGTTCAGCCCGCTGGGCGGAGTCTGGAATCCTGGCTCGGCCCCTGCCCTGACGCCTTCCAGCCGTGGCCTTGGGCTAGTCACACAACTCCAGCCCCAGGCTGCTCGTTTGGGACAGAGTGACAAGAACTCTTTTCCTGCCTCCCTCGTGGGGCTGACTGAAACCTCAGCTGAGGTCAGACCGTGCAGCGCTTTCTGAGCAGGAAAGCACTACCTATACAGAGACGTCAAAGCACACACGCGCCTTCACACAGTCTTACTCCGACTTTCCTCTCTTGCCTCCATTTTCAAAACGTCCCCCAGCGTTCTAGCCAGCCCTCAGCCCGCAAGTCTGGTGGGGCTGTTTCAAGCCCGGCTGAGCCCTGAGGACACTCAGATGAGTACGAACTCGTCTCTGCCCTCATGAACTACGGGGAGCCCCGCGCGGGTGAAGCGGCCCGTTAGGAGGAGGCTGCGGAGCTGGGCGGACCAGGGAGGCAGAACTCGGTGTGCCGTGCTGGAGAGTTTGGACTTTTTCCCTGTAAATGAAGAGAAGTCACTGAGTGGTTTAATCAGGGCAGTAGCATCATCAGCTCTGGACTCTGGAAGTGTCGCTCACCCCCGTGACCCGTACAGGGAGAGGAATATTTGGGGAGGGCAGTAGTGGAGACAAGGAGACCCGTTAGAACAGCTCAGTAATACTGCAGGTGCGCGATGGGGAGGAGCTGTACTGTGGGACGGATAGAAGGATGAAGATGCTTTTACACTTTCGTACGTTAAATTAAAAGACTTTTTGAAAGTGGAGTAATACTGAACACAATGGAGAAATACGGTATTCACAGGTATTGGATCCTTCTGTAAATAGATGTAAAGGTGCTCACACACATGAATTACCAGACTCAGATTCCTTAAGTTTAGGAGTTTGCCTTCAATTTTTCTTCAAATTGAAGAAACTGGACAGTTGGTCATAAACAGTACAGCGCTTAACGTTCCTGAGTAATCGCGTCTCTAAAGCGGGTAACTGGCGGAGCTCTCGCAAAGTAAGTGTCAGCAGACAGGAGACGGTCAGCCTCTGCGGAGGGTCTGACGACCTTTTGCTTAGAATTCGGTCTGTAGAATGCATCGTGACTTATGTTTTTGTTTCAGAAACAGGTCCAGGCGTTAAGGAACCGAATCCAGTTTCTCCACGTAAGTCTTTATGCAACTGTTTCGAAATAAAGCCTCCTGGGCTTTTACAAGAATGAGTTGGTTATGGAACATTTGCCAGACTTTGAGTTTTGATAAGGAGACTTCTGCTCTCATTCTCCCTCACCCCTTTTTTCTCATACTTTCTTTTTCCTTTCCTCTGTCCTGCCTTCATTCTCCTTTTTTTTTTCTTTGCTTTTCTGTTCTTTCTTTCTTTTATTGAAGTATCGTTGATTTACAATGTGTTAGGTTTAGGTGTACAGCAAAGTGATTCAATTATACACATATGCATATATTCTTTTTCAGAATCTTTTCTGTTACAGGTTGTTACAAGGTATTAAATGTAGTTCCCTGAGCTATAAAGTAGGTCCTTGTTGTTTATCTGTTGTATATGTAGTAGTTTACAGTGTATATATGTTAATCCCAAACTCCCAGTTTATCCCTCCCCACCACCCATTTCCCCTTTGGTAAGTTTGCTCTCTATGTCTATGAGTCTGTTTCTGGTTTGTAAGTAAGTTCATTTGTATCATTTTTTTAGATTCCATATGTAAGTTTTATCATATGATGTTTGTCTTTCTCTATGACTTACTTCCCTTCATATGGTCATCTCTAGGTCCATCCATGTTGTTGCAGATGACAGTATTTCATTGTTTTTATGGCTGAGTAATATTCCATTGTATATATACCACATCTTCTTTTTCCCATTCTCCTTTCTTTTTCCCTAACTTTGCCATTTTAAAATATGCATTTAGTGACCCATTGGTGTGTATATGATCTTAATGGGAAGGGAGTAACTTTCTTAGTTTTAGAGAGAGATGTTGCATACTTACATCGCTTGTGATCTGAAGGCATTAGCATGCAGCTGTGAGAGCGGCTTGCTTTATGTGTCAGCAATACCTGCCTGCTCAGAGGAGTTAGTGCTGAAGGAGCTAGTTGCTGTACCTTTAAGACAAGCTCTGGGCTCAGGATGTTGGGAGAGGGCTTGTAAGAAAAAGAGAAGGAGACCAGCTGCTACAAAGCAACGCGTTGGGAATCCTCTGGGCCCACTTCATTTCTTGGTACAGAAGAAAGCTCACCCCAGAAGTACTGAGGTGACTCCCCAGGGCCACGACGGGCACCGAGGCTGCACCCAGAGCGCTTCCAGTACTGTTGCCGTGTGAGGAGTCTGTGCTTCTTCCTTTCCTCGACTTCCCAGACGAGCCTCCACGGCTGGGCCCGTGGCATACACACAGCAGTAGGTCCAGAGGGCCCTTCGTGCCGAGTGCTGTGTGAACTGCCCTAGTAGGGGTGTTGCTTTAGCAGTGTCCTGGAGCAGTGTCCTGAACCCAGGGAGGGGCCCATACAGACACGCTCTCCCGTACCCACCTGGTCTGATTCTCATGAGTGACACCTCCGTCTTTAGAATTTTAGAATATTTCCACTACAGACTTTGAATCATGCCCCACGTTTGCATCTGGAGGCGCGACAGGATGAGCCATCTTTTCATCTGTGTCCTACAGATTAAATAAGGCTGGCGGCTTGCGCGGTCGTAAGCCCGTGGAGTCCTTCCCGGTGCCTGCTCCTTCTAGGGGGTCCCCACCCCTTTTACAAGCTCCTTTTGTTTACCGCCCCCCACCTTCAGCCAGTGATGTAGTGCTGTCCCGTTTTTTAGAAGTTAAATGAACACCATTTAACTTGGTGTTAAAGGGCCCATGACTGGAGGAGTGGGGACCAGAACTTGGGAACTTGGGTCCTTCAGAACCCTCTCCACCATGCCGCACCTCTCCTGAGCCCTGGCGAGGGGTGGGGCTGTCAAGGGTCACATTTGTCTGCAGGTGTATCTGTTGCAGTGACGTGAGTTGAAAGACAGTGTCTGAACTTACACCGAGCTTGGCCAGAGTCGCTGCTGGCGGGTGGGGAGCGCAGGAACAGCACGGACAGAGTCGGGAGACCCCACAGCTGCAGTTTATACCACAAAGGGAGGCCTTAGAAATTTTACTCCACCGAAAACCTCTCTCCCTTGGACACTGATTTTTACTTTTTATAAATGATTCTCTTAAAGGAAGAGGGTAGTTCTCTTAAATTGAAGGAAATGTTCTATTTCTGTGGCCTGGAATTAATTTCAAATATAAAAATCTTTGCCAAACGGAGGAACAATTGGTTCTATTTATATGTTTTGCTGACCATAAAATTGACATCACTCTCCACTAAGAAGCATTTCTGTTCTCCTCAGAGGAAAGATCATGGTTGGAAAAGTGTGGAAAAGTATGTTGTGTTAAATGACACGGTAGATTGTTGAGAAGGAGGGTCTGATGTGAGGGGGTCAGTGACATGTTACCCACGGGAGCACTTTATCCTTATTCTGTTTTCTCTTTCTCGCCACCTTTCTCCTCATTATCTTTCTTACTTGTACATGTTCGTGAAAGTACGTTTGTATTTGAAGTATGTTTTGTATGTGGTGTCTCATTGTTGGAAGCATCCAATGAATAAGAAGCAATAAGTCAGATTTTGATAATGGAAGTTCACCTTACTTTCCCAAGCGTCTTCATCTTTGAATTTTCGAGCCACTTTGTCATTCAGATAGTAGGTCCTCAGACGGAGACAATGAACCACAGACTTAGGGTTTTACAGAGTTGACAAATCTGATATTTTAGTAAGTTTTTTGCTCAAAATAAGTTGCAAGCAGGGGATATCTTGGAAATCCGAGAATTTCATTTTTCTTTTGAGAAAATATTTGCAAGTTACAAGCACAGTGTGTGTGGTTGGAGCCCTCATTTTAGCCTCGGGTTTCATTCATCATTGCTCAGCCTATCTGACGATACTTGTGAAACGTTATAAAACTGCAGCATACAACGCAGACTAATTCAGAGCATGCACTGGTTTCTCTTCATTTTAGCGATTTTCCACGGCCTGGACACCCTAACCGTGATGGGCATTGCGTTCGCGGCCTTTGTGATCGGAGCGCTGCTGACGGGGGCCTTGTGGTGCATCTATTCTCACACAGGTCAGTGGGACTGCTGAGTGCCGGCTGGCACAGCCCACGTGCCTGCCACGCTGTGGGCACCTGGGGTTTTGCCCGTGGGTGACTGGGCGTGCTAACGAGCGAGAAGGGGAACGTTCATTCCCACTGCTTTCACGTTTATGTATTTGGCATAAATGGGTTTTGCAAAAATACAGTTTGCTTTAAGCAGATTTAGAAAAGGGATGTTTAAACTATTTATGTTAATTGCAACTGAGATGTTGCTGAAGTTTAGCTTCAAATAAAGCTGTTTTGTGGTTAGGGTTTGATTGAAGAAAGTTAATGTAAACAAACCGGAAACATAAACCATTTCCCCAAAGCTGAAGACTTCAGAGCAGACGTATAAATGGGCAGGAAGTGAAAAAGGAAGCCAAGATTTTATTACCACATCTGCCAAGGTGCCGAGCACTGTCCACCAGAGGCCCAAGCCAATGGCTTAAACCGGAATTTCTCAACCTTACTTAAACCCATACCATGTCCTCTCTTATAAACATAAAATTCTCATGTCTTTCCAGAAAGTTATTTAAATTTGAAAATATATCTTCATGAATTGTAAACAGATAAAAAATGGTGAAACAAAGCACTTTGTTTTCAAGTCATGCTCTTCTACACCGAAAAATTCTCATCTGCCTTTCTCCCTAACCCCTTCCCCTCGGTACCAAGGTTGAAACATTCTGGCCTGAACAGAGAGCCTGTTCTGACCCCAGCACGGAACGCAGGCCAGGCTGGGGCGTCTGTGGTGCAGGGGAAGGAACGCGCGGTCTGCCTTCTGCTGCTGCTTTCTTAGATTCCTTGCAATTACTGGACGGAAATCCATGCATTCTGAGGCCTGTCTAGCAAGCTAGTTGGTATTGTCTGTTCTTGGATGCTTGTGACCCTCAGTAAACTGCTGGTGTGATCAGTCGGAGGCTAGGAGCAGGCCCAGACTGTCTGCAATTTTAGAATTGTGCTGTTTCCCATTGAACCAACGCCTGCCACGATGTTTGGCCTAGCCTTGGCCTGTCCAGGGAGCCAGGCTGAAACACTGACTGCTTTAAAGGGGAGAGAAGCACTGAAGGGCATTTTGAGAGGTCACATCTTGATCCTTGTCAGGCTCTTCCCTCCAAATACTGCATTCTGAGTAAAATACTGAGTTATTTTAGATTCCGGCAGGAGAGAGGAGTGAACCCTGTGGTGCCGAGCACGAGGAGGTCACTCAGCCCAAAGCAGAAGCTGAGGAGAGCTCAGGAGTGAGGCTTTGAGTCCTCAGCTGTTGCTCCCAGGCAGCAACCTTTGAGCAGAGGCCCGGGGACCCCCGAACAGCACAGGTTTGAGCTGTGTGGGGCCACTTACACAGGGATGTTTTGCAGTAGTAAATGCTACAGCACCAACGGTCCGTGGTCGGCTGAATCCACGACGCAGAGGAGCCGTGGGTGCAGAGGGCTGGCTGTCAGTTACGTGCAGGTTAACCTCGCATCGTTCAGGGTTAACTGTATATTTCATGTGCAAGAGGAACTAAGTCTCTTAAGTGTAATGACTCTGGGGACACACGCACGCCGGCAAATTGGCTTAGGACTGTCCTTTTTCATGGACAGCTCTACCAGCACCAGAAGGGACAGTGTTTAGCAGAGGAGCACCTTAGAGGAAGTAACTTTGTCACAGGAACTCTGACACATTCAAATCTCAGACTCACAGTTCTTTGCAATTTTTCCCAACCTCCTGCGTGGCCGTGAGGTTGACGGCTTATGCCGTATAATAGGAATGAACTTGAAAGTACTCCAAGAAGACTGTAGCCCTGAGGAATTTCTCTGGGGTGGGCACCCGCAGACTTACCACGCCCCTGCTGAGCCGTGACCGGCCTTGGTCACAGAGCTGCATCCTCCAACCCCGAAAGCTACCCTCAGGCCAGCAGGGCCCGGAAGCCAGGTGGAGGCAGAAGAGGGCAATCAAACAGCACTGCTCCTGGAACACGCCCCATGGAGCTCCCTCCGGTAACCCCAGACTCTTGTCCGCAGCCAGGCTCACAACCTGGGGGAAGCAAAGCCTGGTTTTATGGCACCTGCTGCTGCTCATTAAATTCCGCGGTGTGTTATTACTGCTCCCTTCTCCCCCGAATCAGAGACTTAAGGAGTTTTTAAAGTTTTGTTAATACGGAAATAGATTTATAAGTAGATTGAAAAAAAAACATACCGCACCCTTCCTGCGACGGGTTCCAACAAGGTAAATTATGCTGCTTCAGAAGCTAAAAGCTAAAAACCACTGTCATTTGGGCTCCAAACCTGTTAGCATCACATATGATACACCTTCAGATGGCTTATTAAAAGCTGTAGATTCTGGTTCATTTTAAAGATTGCTCATAAGGAATACCAGTGTCATGCAAGCAAGAAAAAGGCTCACCTTGGGACCAAACGACAGTTTCCTATCCAAAACCCCTCAGTGGCTTACCTGGGCCGGCTGGCAAGTCTCCATAAGAAGAGACCACAGTGCAGCAGCGCTGGGGAGAGCGTCTGTGCAGACACTGACCGGGTCCATCCAGCTTCCACGTGATCGACGCTGTGGGAAGCAGACCCTGTACGGCCTGTCTGGGGGTTCAGGCAGCACCTGCCTCTGTGTCAAGGACAGCCCTTAACTTGGGCGCCTTCCCTTTGTGCTTGCCATTCCATCTGCATCACCGAGGGCAGAGCCGAGCCACGAGGTTGAATTGCAGATGTCTGCTCACACACCTAGACTGTCGGTTAGTCCAGAAAAGCTGGGGCCCCACCTTGTCACGTGACAGCTTTGCACACAGTAAGGGGTGCTTCCTTTAGGCCATATTCTCCTCGTTGGAAAAACTCCACTCCTGAAACTTACGTTGTCCACGAAGGTGGTACAGAGAGGAGGGTGGGCCCGGGTGGAGCCGTGGAAGCGTCACGCTCCCGGGGCCTGGTTCAGGGCCCCCGACCTCCGGTCGGTCATAAAGGTCCTGAAAGTCATATGCCGTGAGTAGCATATGCACATTTTCATTTGAGGAGAGGAGCAAAAGCATTTATTTTTATTTTTCAGTAAAACTTTGTAGCTTTATCACAACATGCACATAGTTGGAAGGCTGAAGTGGTTCTGCAATACTTGTTCTGAGAAACACGAGTGCCCTCCCACCCACTCCCTTTTCTCACCCCCGAGAGCATCATTTTTGACTCTTAGCTGATTGTCTGGGACGTTAACCTCTAAATAACCTGAATATATTGCTACCCCTTGACTCACCAGTTTTAAGCCTCTTCTGTCAGCCTCTCACTGTGGACAATGACAATTTAATTCTCTTTCACCCTGTTCCCCAATTATACATTCATGCCCTCTTGTCTCCCTTATCCCCACCATCCTCTGCACAGAATTATACTAAAATTTTGGTTAGATCAGCATTTACTGTTCACGCTATTATGACTCCTTAAATACCAACCACACTTTAGCCATGTGGTGTAATAGTAGTATTTCTCTGCGTGACTTTTAGTTTTTGCCAGGATCCGTAACTGTCTCTCCGCCCGCCCCCACGTTACCTTGGTTTCCTGTGTACTTACCGCTGACCCACCTGCTGGCTCTGCCATTGTCTCGGTCTCCTCTGCTCACGTTCAGACATCAGGTGTTCTCCTGACTGTTTCCTTCAGGACTTCAGATGTGGGTGTCCTGGGTCATGTGTCCTCTGTCTTCCTCCTTCCTGACTTAAAGGGAACATAAGAGGTGCATATTCTTCACACCTTGCATGTCTGAAAATGTCCTCATTTTATACAAACACTTGGTAGATAGTTTGCCAAGGTATAGAATTTTAGGTTATAAATAATTTTTCTTCAGAATTTTGAAACCACCTCTCATTGCCTTTTAGCTCAGAAGATTGCTTTTGGGAAGTTCAGAGCTATTCAGATTCCTGACCTGTTCTTTTTCCCCTTTTCTGGAAGAAATTTTAAATGATGGTGCTTGAGTCAGGTGCGTTTCCATGTGTCATGCTGGGCGTTCATTGAGCCCTCTCAGTCTAGAAACTCGTGTCCATCATTGTTGAATTTTCTTAGAATTATTTATTTTTTTCTCACCCCTGATTTTATTTGAAAGCTGGACATTTTGAATGGTCCTCTAATTTTCCTTTTCTGTTTTCCACCTTTTTCCTTTCTTTATTTTCCAGGAGATATATTCATCTTTATCTTTCAGTTTCTTACTGCGTTTTTAATACTGCCTTCAAATTTTTTAATTCCAAGAAGTTCTTCCTATGAATTAAAAACATACATCCTACTCTTGTCTCATGGGTGCAGTATGTCCTGAGAATGTTAATACAGAATTATTTAAGAACAGAGAAGGTCTGAGCTCGTGGTGGGACAGGCTGGTTGTGAGCTCTCCCCCAGCAACCTGGCTGGGCCTTTACTGGGGGACTCCTGATCCCACGTCTTTGGATCTTTCCTCTTGAGCTCATGAAGCTTCCCGTGAAGCAGGTTTTCCTCTCTCCTTCCTGGAGGCTGTAGGTCTGGCTGTCTGCACTCTGGGGGTCACATCCTTCAGCAGGTAGACGTTAGTGTGACCCTTCTCTGCCACCATGGTTCCCCACCTTCAGTCCTGCCGGGTGTTGGTCATTCCTGGAACCCTAGTTTCATCCTCTTTGGAGAGTCTTCGTCCCTGCACCGTGGGTTAAAGGAGGGGATTTTGAAAAATGTTAGCGCTTCTTACATGGAAGTTCAGCCAATCCCACGGCCGACAGCCCCACGTTCACGCTGTCTCCTGGGGGACCTGATGCCACCGTTTCCTGAGTTCTTAGGGCTTCCGTGTTACTGCCTGGCTTTTTCTCGGCTTTTCCTACAGTTGGCTTAGGACCTGTTCTCTTGAATCTGCTGAGTCAGCTTCTGCCTGCCCATTTCGTCACCAGCTTCCAGCACCTTAGTGCTGTCATCTTGCCTCCAGTCTGCCTCCTCCTTCTTTTACAAATCTGTAAATTGTCATTTTGGTAAGATTTTCTTCTAGGCCTATGAATTGGTTGTAATTTTGTACCAGTTAATGTCTCAAATCTTGATATCCTAATTGTGACTATTTCACAAGCTCACTCCTGTGAGAAGAGTGAACTAAACTACCTTTTGAGAAGGTTTTAATCACTTTTGATCAGTTTCAAAAACCTTTCCTCCCCATTCTCCAAGCTAAAAGACCTTCCACTTGCAGGCAAAACTGTGCAGAACGGGTGGGTTAGAAGTCATTATAATTGATCTTTCCTTTACTTTAATTTGCCTTTGTGGTCTCTCAGCAGGATGCAAAATCTGATGATAGGAGGAGGAGAAAGAGGGAAAGCGCGGGAGGGAGGCCACCTTCTGCATGTTATCTGTACAACCCTCGGGCACCGGCTGTCATCAGAGATTGCATTCTAAGGTCCAGTTTCTGCAACTGCTAATCTTGTTACCCGGGCCAGGTATATTTACCACGTTTCCCTTAGGTAGACAAAGAGATGGTCTCTACTTCACAGGGGTGAGTGCTTAAACAGGAAATGCGTGTGAAAAGCTTCCTGAACTCCAGAATCCTACAAAAATGTAAGGTTTCTCAGATGTGTAGACAGAAAAAAAAAATCCAAGAGCAGAAGGAACATGTTTCCCAGAGCGACAGAAACCGCCGCGGTGCTGCGTCCGCGGTGCCTGTCCCAGCCCCCGTCCTCGGCTGATCCCGCCACGTGTTCTTACAGCAGGAGTCAGGCCCGTTCCCAGGTCCACCTGAGTCGGGCAAGAGCTTGTAATTAGAAGCATCTCTAGAGGCTTCCAACGTTTTTAGAAATCTGAAGTTTCTCCATGCCCTCAAGTCTAGTCCAGGCGAAGACAGAAACAGCAAGAAAGCAGGCTAAGGTAGAACCAAAGCAGGAGGCAGGCGGCTACGTCCCAGGGATCAGACAGGTGCAGCCACAGCGGATGGGAACCCTGGGACGGCTGCAGAGAAGGCGGGAGCCGCTCCTCTCACCCAGGTGCTCAGGTTAAGCCAAAATAAGATGCCCACAGAAAGCCAAAGCGGAGGTGTCCACAGGCTGGCTATATTGCAGCAGTATAGAAAGAAGGTGGCAGACAGGATATTTTGAAAGATTTTGATTCCTGCCTTGGGACATTCCTGCCTTTCGCCAAACGTGTAACTTCTGATTCACCCCCTCCTGCAGAGTTTTGCCTACAAAAGGAAAGTCTTCTTTCTTGAAACGTGAGGAGGGGCAATTTTTGAAAATGATAAACAGTGATTGAAAGCTTCTCTAAAGAAAGGTGGTCTGGTTCACTCTCCTTACGGGAGTGAGCTTGTAAAATAGTCACAATTAGGGAATCAAGAAATTGAGACAATAATTGGTACAAAATTGCAACCAACACATAGGCCCAGAGGAAAATACCTGTTTTCTTTCTAGCATCAAGTAATATTAAGTGTAAATCACCCCCAGGCATGTGGTTTTCAGTCCAATGCTTAAATGTCTCCCAAGAAAGAAATTCCATAAGTTCCCGCTATAACTAACCAGTCCCCGTAATCAGCAAGTTCTTTTCTCTCTGACCGAAATCTCCATCTAAACTTACTTCCTCTTGTTCTGCCCTCAAGGGAGATGAAGAACACCTGTCTGCTGCTCTGTGTAGTAATCCTCTGTGGGCACTGTTTGCAGACAGTCTGCTTTGGGCTCAATGATCGAGATTCCTCTCACCGTCTTTAAAATTCTTGTTTTTTCCCCATAGAGCCTCTTCGTGTTACCCACATCTTTCTTAGATAAAGTTTCTTCCCCAGGCCCTGCGGCGCTGAAGGACTCAGAGGTACGAGTCAGGCTGTAAGGCAGACTTCCCCAGAGGTGGCAGGGAGTCGGACCTGGAGCACTCCAGGCCAGGCTAAGCAAAGGAGGCAGGTTGTCCCTTACGACACATGCGTTTCTGTTCCTGAAAGCGCATCTGGCAGCACCGAGGCCCCGCCACAGGCTCCCGGGTGAGCTGGGGGGTGCGTCCTTGTCCTAGCACCCCTCCTCCCAGGTACCCCATGTACCAGATGCCCGCTTCCACTATCCACCCCCTCCTCCCCAGGTATCTCCCCCTCAGTGGTTTGAGATGGAGTGAAGCATGAGGACTGAACACGTTTCTTCTCGCGGCCAAGTTTGATGTTTATGGGCAGCGAGGCTTCGTCGAACCCCTCACACTCGCTAAGTGAGGTCCTCCCTGCCCACCTTCTCCAGAGGTAGGCTGGTTGTATTTGTCACCCCACGGGTATTTTAGAGAACGTCAGTGCTCCAAGAAATCGGAGGCCACTGTGATAGAGAGCAGGAACCAAGGAGCCCATCTCAGAAAACCCAAGAGACAACAGTGCTGTTCAAGCAGAAACATCTGCACATGAAACCTGCTTTCTCCCGGTGGACTCTTCTGTAGCGCCACTTGGATCTGACAGGGAGAAAGCTTTCCTCAGCTTCTCAGAAGGTGAAACTTTTTAACGCTTGCTTGTACTGGGAGAGCGCATGTCTCTCGTGTGCGAACAGCCTCAGGCGGGAGGGAGCATTGTCTAAGGGAGGTGGTTTCCACACTTCAGGGAGGATCGTTGAGAATCCATCGGCTCAAAGTCAGTAGATTATTAGGTCCGGCTGACTTGCCCACTGAGCTGAAGGGTGTCCTGCGGTCGCGAGCACAGGGAACGTCTTTGTTTTGTTCTGCTTGGGGTCTCGCTTTGGACAGTGCTTGGCATTAGCGGCAGAAGAGTTTCCAAAACTCTGGGAGTTGAAAGACCTCTTTAATGGGCAGCGACTAAAACAAACTGGCGTGGCAACAAACTGCATTTGGCAAATAGAGCTCGGAAAGCAAATACTCAGGCTTCCTGGGCAGGGAGGAGCAGTGGCACTTTTCCTGGATGCGAATAATCAGCACGTGTCAAAGTGCGGAGGAGACAGGCTGGCTCGCCGTCAGTTCGTGAGCCGCAGCCATCCTGCCCGGCTGCTCCCCGGCCGGACAGACGGCGCCCAGGTGAGCCGGGCTGGGAGCTGGGTGCTGCCTGGCCTCGGGCTTTTCTGGCGTAGCCTTTATTTGAACGGGGAAATGACATTTTTAAAATGTGCTTTGCACAACACGCAGCCACACTAGCCCTGCTAATTGATACCATGAGAATCCAGCTGGGTGTGGAGCAGCATGTGGGCTGCCGGGGGCGGGGTTTTTCAAGTCTATCACGAGTTGTTCTAGTGTCTGGAGATTTGGGGGGTTTTCCGTTTTGGGCTTCACGTTCTCACTCTGGGGAAAGTGGGTTTCCGGCAGAAAGTCGCTGTCACTGAGGCAGACTTCCCTACCTTTCATTACTGCACACACGGAGGGTGGAGGGCAGTGCTGGGAAGGGTCCGAAGGATAAGTTGCTGAGAAAAGAAGAGCGAAGTGCAGTTTCTCGGCCTCTGGGGAATGTTGACCTGCTCTCCCCTCTCCTCCCGCTGACCCCAGATGAACAGATAATCAGAGGAAATGCAGCAGGGGCCAGATATGCAGCAGGAAGGCCCCGAGGCTGAGGCAGGAACATGTGCTGTAGCCGGTGCTGGAGGAGAGGGGTGACGGGAAGGCGGTGGCCAGGCCCAGAGGCCTGGGCCGCTCCGATGTTGTGCAGACCTGCTGCGCTGGCAGAGGCTTTAGAGGGGCCCCAAAGGGGAGGGGGAGGCCTGGGCTGAGTTCCTGTCCTGGGAGGGCAGGGCCTCTGCTGGTGTGTTTTGTTTTCACGAAGAGGCCAGAGTGCTGCTTATCTCCGGCTGATAGCTGTGTATATCTCAGCCTGACAGGAAGGAGGAGGCTCATTCACAAACAGACCTGGCCCTCTGGGGCTTCCCACACCAGGGCGGGGAGACTGCTGGCCAGAAGTTTATGAAGTTTATCCTTTGACTTTTCAAAGAAAATGCAGTGTTTGTCATCAGAGAGCCTTGATCGCTTTTCCCTACCGGGAGCCATTTTTTGAGGGCTGCTCTGAGGCCAGTTTCGTTGAAGACAAGACAGCGCTAGAGCCTTCTGCAGCGCTAACTGCAGACCATGTGTGCGGCCCACGGTCCCCTCCGGTCCGCAGCACTGTGCGTTTGGCCCGAGGAGTGCAGTGCAGTGGGGTGTGCCATGGAAAGTGGGGTGCTGCATGTGGTGGGAGATACACAGGCTGCAGCCTGCAGTGAACCTCAGGATGGGGGGGTTCCCTGGCACCTAAAGGCCCCCATGTGCTAACAGCTAGACCCCTTCCCCCAGAGGTCCTCTGAGAGCCGCCTCCTCCCAGCCCTGTCTCTCAGGTGGGCTGTGTGGTTGGCGCACACGACACTCCGCTGTGGTTCGGGGCAGTCCAGGCGCCACCACCTCCATTTTGACAAAATGCATTCAGGAAAAGGCCTCCAGACTGCCGCGATCCTCTTACTACAGCGCGGAAGTCCCGCCCCCCAAGCCCGACGACACCTTTACGGGGGAGGTGCTCCCTGAGCACAGGTGCTTGTCCGCCGAGTGGCACAGCGCCGACGCCGGCGGCTTCCTCAGAGGCCTGGGCGCTGAGACCCTGGGGCTTTGTCCTCAGCTCGCTGGGGCCTTGGCCCCTGTAACTGCCTCTCAGCTTAAAGACAGTTCTCTTTTCCCCACGCAAGCAGCTTTAAAAGCAAAACACCGACAGACAGAGGAGTTTTAGGGTGGAAGGCCTTCTGGTCGAGCTGCTTCTGCCCACGGTTGAGAAGAACCAGATGAGGTGGTCTTTTCAGGAGCACACGCGGGTAACGTGCATCCTTCTTCGCCCCTGTCTTCATTCACTGCAGGAGAGACGGCAGGCAGGCAGCAGGTCCCCACCTCCCCGCCAGCCTCGGAAAACAGCAGCGCGGCCCACAGCATCGGCAGCACGCAGAGCACGCCCTGCTCCAGCAGCAGCACCGCCTAGCCCGGCCCTGCTCCCGCCTAGCGCGGGCCTGGCGGCCCGTGCCCTGGGTCCAGCCCGCAGGCTCCGACGGCTTAATTGTGGTTCCCTTGGAAAGAGAGTGAATTTCAACATACAGATCACCTGTTGTGTTCACCACCCCCTACCCAGGGCCAATACAAATGTGGGCCCTGGGCTTCTGCCACACACTAGGATTCATCCGAGAAAGCTAAGGTGGTGGCCTTCTCCACCCGTCCCTCACAGGCTTGGGGGTTTTCAATGTGAAACACATGCCAGTTTTTAAGATGCTGCTTTGTCCAGGTAAGAACGTCCATTGTTTGGGGCCCTGCATGTTACCCGGACTCTAGGAGCTGATAAAGGCAAGTAGCCAGATAGGAGAACCCATGAGGTGATGCGGCCAGAGATCCTTTTACAATTGGACCAAGAGGTAAAACAAAAGAGATGCTTCAGGACTTCCTCAGTGTGCTCCCCCATGTCTGCCTTGCACCTTCTGGATGCACACTTCTGGCCTTGCTGCCACACCTTGTGAGGAGTGACGTGTGGGCTGGACGGGTCCTGCCCTCAGCGGCTGCATCCTGACACACGTCAAGGCAACATTCCTTTCTTATTCCCCGGGGCCAAAACCAGTGCTGGCTTCCTCATCAGCCTCCTTCTTCTCCCCACCAACAGCAAAAATGTCTTAATGCAAGTATTGTATTTCTCTATAGGCATATAGAAATTGAAAATGACCAAAACCTGGGACTGCAGATTTGTGCCCATTTATGACATTGTATTCTGATAAATTAATGTATAAGTTGGGGCAAAATCCAGTTGTAAAGTTGAGGAGGAATTTGCACAGCAATGTACGTGCCAGTACAAGTATAGGAAATGTCATTTGGCGCATTCTCTGAAGAAGAGACAATTCGTTTCCGTTTTAAAAACGTCCTGTGCCTTCAAGGTTGGAACTTACTCTTAAATCTATTTGGGAGAATTAGCGTTTCCATGCCAAACCTGACAACCTTTTTAATAGACCCTTTTCTAAGAACCAAGCTCCTGTAAGATGAGGATGTATGGCAGACCCTTTCGGGTTCCGGCTGGTTATCTGAACAGCGTCACCGGTTCTGCCAAGAAGGCGCTGAGGTGACGGGAGGGGCGCTCACTTGGGTTGCTTTATGTCTCTTGCCTTGAATGTATCCCAGAAACTCAAAGAGGGATTTGAGGTGAATTTTATTAAAATCGAATAATATGATGCCACTTTGCAGCTAAAATAAGCTCAACTGATACCTGTATGTTAAGAAAGAATGCGGAGGGAAGTTCCATGTCGGATTATTTACTACTGAGGAGAGCTTCATTGCAAATAAATATTATTCTTTTCCCAGAATTCCCTCCAAACAACTCTACAAATAGAACAGGCAAAATTCATAAGCGAATCTCACTGCCCTTAAACTAAGGAAGCTGTACTTAGTTCTCTGTGGAGAGAGCCTTAAGTAGGAAATGTTGGTGATGCCCAGGACTTGAAGGCAACAAACAGGTGGAGGTGGGCGATCATTGGTGCCTCATCACAGAGTCATGCTGTGGTTGATTTGACAGTTACAGATATTCGATCAGGATAACTTTAACCAGAACAAATCAAGGGCTAGGACTTCCAGGCTATCTACATTGATAATTTTACAGATTTCCACATACAAGTGAAGATACAAGCTTAGGAAAACATTTCCCTTCAGTGAACTTTTTTTCAACATAAAGGTATCAGAGCGGAGGACCTAGATTACGCTACCTGTGTTTGAAAATAATGCGCTTTGCCTAACCTTCAGCAGAATGTATTGTTTTAGCATATTCTATGTATAAGAAAGTTTAAAGATGTCTTCAAAGAAGACTAGAGTCTTTAAGTCACTTATAGCTATATTTTACTACAAAAATCTGTGTCTAAAGATATATTTAAGTGTTTTAGATAAATTTAAGTTACTCCATATGAAATGTTTAATTACAGTTACTGTGAACTCTTTTGATCAGTTCTTTGTGTTAAAAAAAAACCCTTTCCATCCTATTAAAAAGAAAATCAGCTATTAAGAGGTTTTAAAAGACCCAGCTCTTAGATGGACAGGGTTAAGACCTTTTGTAATATATTTAAATATATATTTTTGAGAGAGATGCTACAATGCCAATGATTTTATAAATAATTTAAAATTAACTGACAAATTTATAGATGCAAACCAAAAGATTTTAAAAGAGAGAGAAGAAGATGATCAATTTTTGTTTGTTTGGGTTTTGTCATCCAGAAGTATTTACTCAGATCAAGAAATCCATGTTGATGAAACCTGATTCCATGTTAATTGGAGAGTGAATGTCATGAAATAGTCCTGAAATGTCTCTAAAAAATGAACATGAAAAAAAGGGTGTTTTCCCCCTCGCTTTCTGTTACAGCATTTCCAGTGGCTTCATACTTCACGGTTTGAATACACAGTATACGCTCTGCTTTATCACACATCCTGCAAGTTGCTTTAAGATTGTTCTATTCCAGTTAAACCCTCTCTCTGCAGAGCCCTTTGTGACTTCTGCAGGCTGCACCCTTAATTTGCAGAGGCCGTGTTGTTTTTGTTTGTCTGATGCTAAAGATACTGTTGAGATGCTCTAAACGCCAAGGCAGATCGTGTGTGGTTCTCCTGTAGCTCTTCACCGTGTGGTGTTTACCAGCTGTTACTCTGTGTGTTAAAAGTCAGATTCCTTCTGCCTAAGCTGTTTCTATAGCATTTTCTAAACAAAACAAACACCAAAAAAGGCCTTTTCTTTGTCCGTAGTGAGATGGTGAACCCGTTCCGTGTGTGTGTTCTGCAGTGGGCGTGACTGCGAGTGTGTGTGGGGGCGCGCGCACGCGCGCCGGCCTTTGTGCCCTGTAACTACCTCATGGTTTGAGTGGTGGCTGCACTGCTGTTGTGTGAACAGAGCACATTTGCTGGGTGAATCGCGTGTGTGGTTTCTCCCTGTTTGTTCTAGCTGGGGGCTGTTCATGAAACTGACAGATGTTTTTCTAAAAAGGATTATTATCAGTTTCCAAATGCAATACTTTTCTCTTCTGGTTTTTCCTGAATGAGCCTGATTGCGTTGCTGTTTGCATCGTCTACGAGGGTAAAAGGAGTGCCCTTAGAATCGCTGTGGCCAGTCTGAACACCCCTATTGGACTCTTTTCTCTGTTCAGTGTGTCGGCAATTTTGTGAACATGCTTAGATGTATGCTTTTGATAACCACAGTTTTAAGTCCTTTATCTGTGCATAATAAAAAGATATATCAAGTATTACTATGTGTCTTGTTTGGTCATTATTAAGCTCTGCCCTCAGGCTGATAGAACCTGTGTTTGTGCCTTTCTCCTGAATTTACCGTCCCCTACAGCGGTGTTGACGAGGAAGGGGGGCTAAGAGAATACCGTAGGCCCGCAGGGCAGAGAGAACGGGTGGGCAGCCCGGAGGGACAGGGCAGCGGCTGCCACTCTTGGAAAATGTGGCAGGAGACCTGGAATCCGACTGGGGGCCGTCTGTCAGTCTCCTAGAGGCGAGGAAAGAGGACATAGCATGCTTTTCGGAACTACTGTTTCCATCCTCCCCAGCCGCCTCAGCGCTGCCCCAGCCTCCTCTGTCAGTGCGGCGTCACCAGCGTCCAGCTGCCCAAGCCAGAAACCTGGAAATCTCTCTGGACTCCTTTTTGGCTCCCACACCCCCAAACTCATAAATCCAAGTCTGTTCTACCTTTGGAATATCTTTCTCCAAACCACGGACTGACGTTTACTCTGTGCTGTTACCCAGAATCCAAGCCCGTGATCTCTTAAACCGAATCACTGCACAAGCCTAACGTGACTTCCCAGCTTGCTCCCCTCCCAGTCCCTCTCCGCCACGCAGCTAAAGGAGTCCGAAAAAGACGCAAGTCCTGCCATTTCCCAACTTCAAGCCTGTAGGTAATTCCTCTATTTGCCTTCAGAATAAAGTTCAACCTCCTAAGCATGATTCAAAGAGAGCAATCTGCCCACCTTCCCAGCAGCTTCTCCAGACTCTCTGGAGCTGGTGTTCTACGGGGCATATCCCCCACCAGGCACGTTTATATTATGGAAACAATAGTTTCCTCTTACTATCAAAGATAAATTATAACATTGAATATGTTTACAAACTGCACTCTCATAGCCTTCTCTTTCCCTTTTGAAAAGTAGTGGCTTAGATGATGAGAAACAGACACAAAAAGGTACCAAGGCCGGGGGCCCGCACCCCGCACCTCGCACAGGCAGGTGTCCACACGGCAGTAGCGGCGTGAGGCGTTCAAGCAGCGTCTCGCTCCAGCGACGCTGGATCCTCGTTTACAGATGAGAGTCCAGCCAGCTTTTAGTCCCAAAGACTGTGCCTTGGAGTCAGCTCCTCTCCCAGGGGACAGAGGGAGATTTGATAGGCCAACCAGTTTTTCTGCTGTTAAATTCCCTTTGTGTCTACTGGAGTAGAAATCCAGGTCACCTGCAAGTAGGCTTCAAAAAGTCCGTGAACTACCTGAACTTGCATTTAATTTCTGCATTGACGTGACTGGACTTTTTTTGTTGTTTTGAGTTTCTTCATTCGAAGAGTCCATAGCCCTTTTGTAGGTATGACCTCATGATACGTTTGCACACACAGTTAATACAGACATATAACATGAATGCAAACAACAGACACGCGTAGCAGTGAAAAAGCCCCTGTAACCGTTGAAGTAAAGAAAATAATATTGACTTAGTGAATGTGTTCCCAGATGTTTCCTTATGTTCACATCGACACGTACACGTCACTACAATAAATGAGATCGCATCATAACGTTTGTGACTTGCTTTTCCCACGTGGCATATCTCTCCACCAGGCTTCAGAAGATGAGTGCTGATCATCATTTTTGCACTAGACTTTCCTCAAATTGCCAGAGCAAGACATGGCCATTGTAGCAGGTGAAATAAAAGAGGTATTGTTACTGCCCCCTCTCCTCCAGTCACTTCCCTGGAGGACGATGTTGACAGCCTCTTCTCTAACTCACGCATGTTGATGCATGCTCACAAATAGAGGATTTCTTTTGGTTTACACTGTATACATACTCCAAAACTCGCCTTTTTTCTTAACATGGCCCTCCCTTTAGTTAGTAAATATGAAACAAATTCATGCTTTTTAATGGCTATGGAATATTTCGTACGATGAATTCAGCCATTTCACTGCTGATGAACATTTAGAAGTGTGTTCTTTTCAGGGTTTTGTCAAGATACTCCTGCTGCAGTTTACATCCTTGGGTGTGTCCTGGCATTCGAGTACTTTAAAGCCAAAAAAAAAAGGTGATAGAATCACAAAGAGAAACTGACAGATTCACCATCATAATAGGAGCCTGTAACATATCACTCTCAGGAGTGGGTAAATCAAAAAGATCTGCATATGGAAGATTTGAACAATGCAGTTACGCTTGATCTACTGGGTAGACGTAGAATCTGTGACCCCAAATTTGAGAACTTTGTCTTATATTGAATATTTATACAAATTGACCACTACTAGCCCATAATGGAATTCTCAGCAAATATCACAAAACGTAATCATACTGGTCAAGTTCTTTAACCAAATTCAAGTAATTTGCAAATCAATAAGAAAACAATAATTTTAAAATAATTCAATATATTTGGAATTTTAAAAACACTCATGATTCAAAGGAGCACTCATAATAGAAATTAGAAAATATATAAACTTGAAGAATAAAAATACTAAGTTCATATATGCAGCTAAAGTAGTAATTTATGAGAAATTTTTATGTAAAATGCTAAAACTGGGAAACAATGGAAGGTTGAAAGTGAAGAGTATCCAATATAGCAAATTGGGAAACATGCCAAAAACTAAATTACTATTTTAAAAGACTTCTAGAAATAGACAAAAATTAAGTGAAAATAAATGCATGCATTAGGAATAAAAAAGGACAAATCAATAGATATGACAGAGATTTTAATAAATAAGGGATCACCATAAATAATTTTCTTCTGATAAATATGAAAACTTAGACAATGTGGGAAATGTAGCAGTTAGGGTCCTGTTGGGTAAACAGAATCCATACTGGGTATTTAAACAGAAAGAAATTTAAATCAGAAATTGGTTAAGCAGATGTTGGTTGGCTAAAAAGGTGAAGAGAGGACACTGAGGTATCACAGAGCTAATAAATACAGGAAAAATTGCATCCCTGGGGCTGAGGACTGTCCGAAGGCAAAACTGGGCGTGGTTTGCAGAGTCCCAGCACCCACGGCATCAGGCGGATGGAGGAAGACAGGTTAGGGTCTGGGAGACGAGAGCTTACTAGTAAATGGCACAGATGATTTCCTGGAAAAAATACAATTTTCCAAAACCAATTTAAGAAGCAACAGAAAATTAAAACTGTATCTTCAACCATCAGGGGTTTAAAATGTACTCACAACAAAACAGAACATAAAATTAAAAAAAAAAAAAGCTGCTGAACCCAGATGGTTTTTATCGGTAAGTTCTACCAAGTAGCTAAAGAAGTGATAACGGACGATGCCACGGTCATGGTGCGTCTTTTATTCTGGGGATGGCAGGTCAAAGGGGATGCGTTTTTACTACCAATACCTATTACCACATTACTTTTTCTAAAGGTTGTCACAAACCACGTGGCCACAAGCCTTCCCGCCAGCACTGGGCATGCTGAAACAGAGCCTGGGCTCCCAGACCGCACAGGTTCGAGTCTCGGCTCTGCCATTTGCTAGCTGATCATTTCCTTGATTTAAACAAATCTACTTCTTAGCATTGCCACGAATATTGAATGAGATCATCCACATAAAGTGTTTAGCATATACTGGTCCACTTAATAAATGCCATCTGCTAGTATTGTTACCAGCATTACATGTTTTAAATGTTGCCAATCTGATGGTTGAAAAATTGTATCTTCTTATTTGAATTTTATTATCTCATAACCAAGCAGGTTTAAGTTGCTATAAATTATTGGCCTTTTCCAGGTCCTTCTGTACATTTCCATTTCCTTGTCCACCTTTCTGTTGGGTTGTATTTTTCTTAACAATTTCCATAGTTATGGCATTATATGTCCCACGTCCTGTACAACAAATATTTTTTTCTAATCCATTTCATTCATTTTGGTTATAATGGATATCGCCAAGATAAGATGTTTAATTTTTATGTAGTTGAACATGTCTGCCTTTTCCTCTTGGGTCCTGGGTTTCCTGTCTTTCTTGGGGTCTCTCTAGAATACGCTAATAGTTTTATTAATTCATTGTTCAAGTTTAGATCTTCAGCCCCCATTTCCTGACGGTTTGCGGGTGGTTTGCAGGCGGGCGTCAATGCTCGTTTCCTTCAGGTGATTATTCAGTTTTACCCGAAGCACTTATTTAAAAATGCATCCATTTCCCACGGAATTAAGGTTCTGAAAAAGAATGGTGAGGGGGGTCTGGCCTCAGCAGATACTAAGATGTAGCATAAAATCTTACAATAAAGACAGTGTGATATTCGCATAGGAATACTTAAGCAGATTTCTCAAAGAGATAAAAGCATTCAGAAATAGGCCTAATTCACTGAGACCTTAACATATAACAACTAGTCACAGTTTCCTTTTGATTCTTAAAGGATTCCATGACCCCAGAAGGGTTATAAATCCATGACCCAAAATATGGGAGATAGGTTGTCCCATTTTCACTGGAAAAAAAAATACAGATCTGATTTTCCCCCCCTGTTATTTAAAAACATTTAGAGAAAGTGTCTGAAAAACAAAAATTCAGTTAATGTTAGGTCCACCCCCGACTTCCTTTGGGGCCGGTGCTGCCACCCCAGCGGATCTGGAGGGCAGAGCGTCAAGCCAAAGAGGGTTGTTCCAGATCCTTGAGGTGTCAATGGAGTTTGTTTTGTTAGGTTTTGGACTTGCTTGGGTCCTCTCACGCCTTCCTTCTTTCCTATTTTTCCTTTTTGGAATGAGAATTGTGGGGGAGGAAAAAAATTCTTCCCTCTCCCCTTCTGAGTTCTTAGCTGAGACGTTCGAAATAAGAGACATATTGACAAGAGAAAAATAAACAGCAGCTCATTAGCACGCATGCCTCACACACACGAGGGAGACCCAGGGGCCGATGAGGGCGGCAGGAGGCGGCGTGGCGCTCAGGGCTGGATGCCGTTTCCGGGAAAGAGGAGGAGGGGATGTAGGCCTTTCAGGGGAGCGCAAATGATTTTTAGGAAGGGTGAAAGGAGAGAAGGTGTGAGAGGTTGTGACAACGTTCGGGTTTGGTACTGATGTCTGTTCCCATCTCCTGTGGTG